CCAGCCTGGCCGTCCGCGACCCGCGTCCCGGAGCCCCTCACCCGAGTAGCCCGGCGGGCTCGGAACGCGCTCCTCAGGGTCCCGCGCCGCACGCTTCCCCCTGCGCGCCACCATCTTGCCGCCGGAAAGCCGCGGGGGCCGCTGGGACTTGTAGTTCGGTGCGGGCGGGCGCGTCTCCATGACGACGGCGCCGCGCTCCGCGCTGGTGCGTCTGAGGGCGCCCAGCCCGCCCCTCGCGCCAGGGTCGCCCGGGGTCCAGCTTTCCTTCGCTCAGAGTGAGGTGGCGCGACGTGGGCGGCAGCGTCGGCGGGCCCGGGAGGTTCACGCGGCGAACTCGACTTTGCCGCTCGCGTTCGTCCGGTGCACCCACAGAGGTGACTCAAAACCCAGGCTTCGCGAAGGGGGCGAGAACTCCACGCCCTGGAGCAACGCGTGGGGCGGATCCGGCGGTGCAGCGAAGAGGAAGATGGAGGGCGGCAGCGTGGTGAGGGAGCTGCCACTTTAAATTAGGCGAGGCCCTGCTGAAGTGAGGGCGGTCGGAACACGTAGTTGGAGAGGGAGCGAGGCACTTGGGCGGGAGAGCCTCTGGGCCCAGCAGGGGGTGGGGGTGGGGTGGGGCCCCGCGGCCCGACCCTCCCTGCTGTGGTGCAGAAAGCCAGGGCGGAGCTGGCAGTGCCGGCCAGGGGCGGGGTCAGGGAGGCCCCAGAATCGCTGTTACCCTGCGTGGCGCGGGCCGCGGGGGCATCTGGAGCAGAGGGCTGGTGTGTAAGCAGTCCTTGGTAGCCGAGTGCCCGCGGCCTCCGGAGGGGCCGGGCGGGACCGCGCCCAGGCAAGTGGCGGTGGAAGCGACGGGGCACCCACGTTCTGGGTGGGCTTTGGGGAACCCTGTAGGATTTGCTAGCAGACTGGATATGAAGGGAACGGCTGGTAGGCTTTGGGGTGTGAGCAGTGAGCAGGGTGGTGGTGTGTGGGAGGTGCCGTCGTGGCTCAGGAAAGGTTGGGCAGGTCCCGGGTTCACTATGGACCAGGGTGGGGGCCTGTGGGCTGGCACTGAGCAGATGCTGGGTGGGCAGATGGGTGCCATGCTCAAGAGGAAAGGAGAGGCAGGCCTGGGGGGTAGCCTGGGAGCAGGCAACGGGTGGGTGTTTGGCGCGGCTGTCAGGGGCTCACCCAGGGAGCGAGTGCACACGGAGAGAAGCCCACTCAGACCGTGCACCCAGCACCCCTCTGCCCAGTGAGAGCCGCTTACTGGAAAAGGCTGCTGGTCCCTTGGGCAAGGGGTTGGTGGCATGGCCACCGCAAACATTTGCTGAGGCATTAGAGCCTTTCCCAAGAGACCCAGCCTCCCCGGGGGTGAGGACGGCTCAGGCCTGACAACGGGGACTCCTCAGGATCTCCACCGGCACCTGCAGGAGCCCCCTGCTCAGCGCTTTCCATCCTATGAAAGTTAAGCAGCACAGGGGCTGCCGTGGCCGCGTCTCCCGCTCGTCAGCACATCTGCAGTCCCGAGCTCCTGGCTGCCCTCTGCCCCGCTCCTGTCCTGGTCAGTACACCCACCAACCTGTTGTTATCCTGTCATCCCTGCTGACCCCTGGGAGCCCAGCTCCAAGTATCCCTCCTGCCTCAGAGGACCACACACGAAGCTCTTCCGTGTCGGCACCGGCCGCGCGTGTAGCTTGTGGGACACAGCTGGGCTGGAGTTGCTCTTCCCAGATACATGGATCTGTGCTGGCACTTCACCTTGCTGAGCCTTTGGGCCCCGAGTACTTCGGCTGTGATGATTCTGTCACCTTGCGAGGGGCCATTTCTCCACAGTTGAAGGACCAGCCCAGTAGCCTATCGGGACGGGCTCAGGGAGCCCCTAGCTGGACAGCACTTCCCCAGTCACAGGAGGCCCTCGACAGCGCGGAGCAGAGCTGGAGCAGAGCCGGCAGACGCTGAAACGCACGGAGCAGCTGCGCCGAGTGGGCCGCTCCCTGCCTGGGGAGCACTCGGGCGTTTAGAGGTGCTGACATTTAACTCCTACTGCACCCGCAAGGCCCTATTCCCTGATTTGAGAGAATAATTTGAGTAAAGCGGGCGTAAGTTCTTTCAACTTTTAAAGTCACCTGATCCTCAGGTTGTTTGGTGAGAGATCTTACTCCAATTTCCATAACTGCAGCTGTTCCTTTTCGTCCTGCTTCACTCTCGGTAATTTCAAGACTGTCCAATTTATGTATTGAATCATAATCAGCTCATGATCCTTTGCATTTCTGTGGCAATGATTTCTCCTTCTTTTAGTTTTCTCTTCGTTAGCCTAGGTAAAGGCTTAACAATTTCATCCTCTCCACGAACCAGCTTTGTCTCACTGATTTTCTGTAATGTGGCTTCCAATTCATTTCTCATTTTTACCCTCTCCTTCCTTCCACCGCTATTTGTTTTTTTCAAGTTGCTTTAGCTCTGTTAAATCGAGCACCGGGGGTTTGTCTTGCTGAATGTTGGCTGATGCTACAGTTAGCTTCCGTGTTAACCTTTTGCTGCATCCCATAAATTCTGACAGCTTGTTGCCTGTTTTCACTAGCGTCCAGGTAGTTTCTGGGTCATTCCCCCTTTAGTTCAGTGGTGGTTGTACAAAATGTCATTAAATTCCCTGTTTGAGGTTTTCCTTTTTTGTTTATTCTTGTTTTATGTTACGAAGTTTACTGAGCATGATTTCAACCTTCCCAAGTCTGACATCTGACTTGTGCCCCAAGATATGGTCTGTTCTTGCGAATTTCCCACGTGCACGTCAGACTTACCCTTTTGTTGTACTGGTGTGGAAAGTTCTATAAATGCCTAACACATCTATATGATCTAGCTTTTTTATCTCTGTAAGTTTGTTTATGTAATAGTTTATGTTTACATCATTTTGTGCATTTTTCCATCTCGGTGCAATCCCCTCAGTGCAAATCACCCAGTGCCGTCACCACAGTCCAGTGCACCTTGGTCCAGCTCATTTAAGGCTGTTATTTCCTTACTTATTCTGTCCTGTTGATCTGTCCAGTTAGAAGAGTGTCCATGTCCCTCACTACTGTTGTCACAAGAGGTCAAGATAGTAAATTTTATGTGTATTTTACCAAAGTGGGGAAAAAAGTCCTCATTTTGGGGCTAACACCTACTTTAAGAGGTACATTTTACTCCCGAGTGTAAATTCTTCAACACAACACAAAGCCCAGCAGCCAGGCCCCTCAGCTGCTGTGGCAGGCGCTGACAGCTACACGCGCAGAGAGGCACATTAAGCCCACGAGGGTGCAGCTCCTGGGCTAGGTGCTGCCGGAGACGTGAGCACGAACGTTCTTTCAGCCGTGCAGCCTGAAGCTCGGCAGGTCCTGTGAGAAACTGTCCCAAGTTCAGAGTGGTTAGTAAAGCGAGGCAAATAAATGCTCGTTTTCTGGTGCCAGGTCCAGGTCTGGTACAAGGTCAAGGGACAGAATCTGTAAGAAATGACAGCTCAAAGGGTAGGAATAACAAACGTTTATTCAGAAATGGTTAACACAGCCCCTCCATCCCTTAATGCCTCTCCCTCCCCTTCTGAACAACAGAAACAGATGGTGATGCAGGGGAGTGGGGTGTGGAGGGACACGGACGGCCCAGCTCTCCCCGTCACCCAGACACAGCCCATCAAGAGCAGGGCGGCCACAGCCACCACCCGGAAAGTCCCAAATGGCTGTCCGAAGGGCGGCACCCAGGTGGCCAGGGCACGGCCATCCGCCACTCAATGAAGTTCCTAAGCCGGAACAGCCTGGCGTGGGCTGGAGGGGCCGGTGGTGAAGTCAGGCAGGTTCAGAGCAGTCGAGGCAGTACCCCGACTCCCCAGAACTTGAGAAACTGGGCCCTGCTGCCTGGACGCTCTCTGGCCCAAGAAGGCAAAGTGTAGGAGGAATGTCTTCAGCTGCTGAAGAAAACTAATTCTGGAAGGAAGCAGCGTTCTTGAAAGAACCAGAAAGTGGACACTATAACGCACACCCCTTGGGTTTCCCAGGTCCGGGCTGCAGAGCTAGACTCAAACCTCAGGTCCTTCCTGCTTGACAAACATGAGTTTCTAGGTTTTTCTTCACTGGGGCAGCCTCAAGCAGGGCATGGAAGACGCTCAGTATCTCAGGTTCCCTTAATTTTCTGGACTATAACTTTTACCACGTGGCTACTGATTCTGCAGAGCCTAGAACCCAGGCTCTGGTCCCAGCGCTGCCAGCCTGATTCCTCCGGCAGTCCCACTCAGCAGCAGGAGACGGCCAGTGTGGGGCAACGTGGCCTGGCGCTCAGGGGCTGCTGGCTCTGCCTTTCACCCAGAGGCCTGTTCTACACTCCCGGCCCACCACCTTCTCCCCACTCCAGGGCAGCAGCAGGAAAGCGCCCCAGGTCGTGGAGGCTGAGTCAGACACAGGGCGGCACACTCCTCTCCTGGAGGCTGGACTTCTCAGCCTCCCCAACTATTGTCCTGGAAACCCAGAGGACTGAAAGCAGAGCTGGGAGCAAGCTAGCACCTCCCGTTAAACACAACTTCACGGAGGCGGCAGACCCTTCAGATCCAGCTGGCCGAGAGCTGACATTTACACCCAGCCCAGGCTGTCCGAGGGCCACGCCAGGTGGGACCTGGGAGGGAGCCCGAGGCCCTCCCAGCCGCGACACACAGCCAGCCAGAGAGCGCGAATGGAAGCTCGGCATAACCCAGGGTTAACATGAGCTGGCGTGGCCCGAGGTGACGCTGGGCGGCCGGGAACGCGCCTGGGAACGCGAGGCCTCCACCCAGAGCAGGTGTGCACGCCTCCTGAAGAGCAGCTCCGCCCGCCTGCGCCTCGTGGCCCTCTGCAGACCACCGGCGTGGGTAGCCTTGGTGAGAGGATGGGTCTGTGACGACTCCACCCCAGCCATCCCCATCAACCTGGGGGGGCGGGGGGCGGGGGGGCTCTGCCTTAGTTGACCTGGACCCCACCAGGATGGCAGGTTTCAATCCCTAAATTGTTTGAAAAGTTTAAAAAGGGGAGGAAAGGCCTTACCCGCCTCGAGAAAGCAGAACCCTTCCAATGGTCCTGGCCCGCATTCTAGGGCCGCCCAGAAGCCACCCCGAGAACTGGGGCGCCGTGTCCACGTGCGTCATCAGTGTGGGCTGAGGTTGGGGCAACACAGAAACACAAGCCTATCTTGGGTGAGGTGGAGGGAGACACTACGGGACAGGGCGACGCACAGGACATACAGGACAGAGCACAGCACGAAGGCGGGCCCGGCCAGGAAGCGCTCTGCCCCGCAGCCCTCACTCAGGGTCTCCAGTCCAACGAGCTGCTGGCCACGGGCGGGCTCTGGGCAACAGAGCTGCCCTCCCCTGCCCGCTCCCGCCTCACAGTTTGATTTTGAACTCTGTGGGCTGTGTGGTCACAGAGGCCCCCGAGGACTTGAAGAGCGCCTTCAGGATGGTGTCAGGGTCCACTTCGGCAGGCGGGTGGGACGCAGTGGCAGAATTCACCCTGCGAGGCAGCTCGCTCTCCTTTCTGACTGCGGGGCTGTCACTCAGCCGTCTGTGGAGAGCAGAGTCAAAGCCTCATCATCTTCCCTCAAACGGAGGCACGCACTAGCTGAGCAGCTGCAGGCCAGCACAACCCGAGCGAAGGCTTTCTCTTTAGCTCACTCGGCCCGTGACCTATTTCCTCTGAGAGGCAGCTGTGAGCAGTAGTTAGGGGCCACCACCTTCCTCACAGAAGTCACACCGTCGCCAGATATACCGTCTACAAGTCTTGAGAAGTCAGTTTAACTGGGCTTAATCCAATGTTAATTTAAAAGGACATAAGCCCATTTTCCAGAATGACTTTTCTGGAAAACAGCTTAAGAAACGTGTCCAAATCACAGTCTGATACCCAGGTTCAAATCCTGCTAGGAGTCCCAAAGCCCACTCCAGGCCTTCCCAGCCCACCCGCCAGTCTGCCACTGTCTGTGCCTCGCGGGGGCAGCGCCGTCCTGCTATCTGGACAGCTAACGCACCGCAGGCCCCGAGTCCTCAGTCCTGGGCCAGGCATGTGTGCCCGGGCGTGGCACACCGAGGGTGACACTTGGCACCGTCCCATCAGGGCTGACCACGGGAGGTGCACGTTCGGCTCACGTGGATGATGCACAGGGTTGCGTCGGGGAGACGCACTGGCCTGTCCTCCACGTCTTGGGTGGTTTAAATAGTAAGGCTGGGAATGAGCTCTCGATCACCAGCCTCTGAGGGGGTCCGCCCCCTGTGGCAACAGCACCACAGCCACTCTGCGTCCTGACTGACGCAGAGCGGAAGAATGCTGGGGTGCAGAACAGAGAGAGGAGCACACAGAACTTGCCAGCAGCAAAGCCCCCCTGACCCCAGGACGCCGCCGTGGCACTTACAGCAGGATGGGCTGGTCTGAGGTGATGACGTTCCCATTCATGTGAAGGTTGCACTTCATGGGCTGCCCTGAAAAAAAAAGCAACAGAGCTTTGCCACGAGGCCGACTCGCTCCAGACGCGGCCGCGGTGGCAGCCCTCACAGGGTCAACGCAGCCGGCCG